TGGTTCAAAAAAACGTATGGGGACCTGGCTGGCCCCCTCCCCTGGGCCCAGTGGCAGGGTAGGATGTGCAGCCTGCCAGCCTGTGGAGCCTATGCCTCAGGGCTTTCAGGCATTCTGGCCATGGGGCTTTGCCTGCGCGTGGAAGCCCTGCAAGTAGAGTTAACATGTAGAAGCCCAGATGGTGGGCAGCAGGGCCACAGGGCTGCAGCCAGGAAGAGGGCCTGGGGTGAGGGCTGGAGGTTGAGCAGCCCTCTGTGGACCCTGGGGCATGGCAGCAGGTAGAATGCTGCTCCATGTGGGTGGCTGAAGAGCACCACCCCGTCCCCCAAGGAGGATGGATGATGGTGAGAAGCAGGATCCCCAGGGCTTTAGGGGCACAGAGACGCAGAACTGGTTGTTGACTCAAGTGAAGGGAATGGGTCACTGATTATCGAGACCAGGACCTACTCCTGCTGTGCCGCTGATGTACTGTCAAATCCTGTCTCTGTGCGCCTTGGTGTCTCATCTGTGAAATTGGGTGGGGAAGCAGACCCCAGGACCCTCTCAGTTCTGCCGTTGGTTAATCTAAGGGTCCCCAGAAATGGGTTCTGCAGTCAGGTGGCTCAGATCATGAAATCCCAGGAAGGGAGGAAGAGGGGCTGGCCAGCCGGGTGGGATGCAGCAGAAGTGGAGGCAGGGACCAGGGACACAGCTTGGGCTGGTTTCTCTGCAGTGGCACCTCTGCTCCTGAGCTGCTGCCCAGAATCTAGTTTCTTTGCTTGGGGCTTCAGAGAAAAAGTTACATTTCCTTTGCATGGGGAGCCCTTCCGTTATTTGCAGAAGGTTCCAGTCTGGAGCCAGCCCCCTGCCTTACTAGTTAAGGGACCTGGATCTTGAATGGTTGACTGGGGCCCAAATCCCAGCCCTGGTGAAAAACATGCTGGGTGTGTGCATGTGTGTGTATGTAATTCCGATAGGATGGAGAAACGGAGGAGAAGAGATTGCAGTGTGACTGTGCACCAATGGGGTGCTTTCTCCCTCTCTCTCTCTGTTTCTCTGTATTTCTCTGGTGAGTGTGATTAATAATAAGTTCCAGTCTGCCTCCTTCCTTCCTCTGGGCACTTAGTTCCCTCCACCCACAGGTCAGAGGAGACTGCCCTAGACACTTGATAGGCATGTGCTGGGAGATGACCCCAGCCCTGTAAGTCTGAAGACCTGGAAGCCTGTATGGGGCCACCCTGTCCTTCACAGTTTGCCCATTCAGTCCTCCAGCATTAACTGAGCACATCTGGGTGAAGGGGGTAGGTGTTCCTCTTGGCACTGGGGTTGCAGCAGATATAAGACAGATGGATAGTGTCATGGACAACTGTTTCTTCTCCAGCCTCATGTACTGGACAGACTGGGGGGAAAACCCCAAAATCGAATGTGCCAACCTGGATGGGCAGGAGCGACAAGTTCTGGTGAACACCTCCCTTGGGTGGCCCAATGGCCTGGCCCTGGACCTGCAGGAGGGAAAGCTCTACTGGGGAGATGCCAAGACAGATAAAATTGAGGTGAGTCATTTCTGCAGGGGTGCTTTGGACCGAGGGAGAAGCTGTTTGATATGGGTATGCTGCCCAGATGTCTTAGGGCCCCCAGTCTTATCCAGAGGTGAGTTCTGGCCACTCCTGCAGCCCGAAGCACACATCAGGACATCAATGGATGCGGCGTGCTGCTATTTGGCCAGGTGGAATCCTTGAAAACAATTTCTAGTGATATTTCTGATACACAGAAAGGCCTTGAGAGGGTCTGGACTGAGTGAGTAGCCCTGAATAGTGTACTGTGCTTGTGTAAGGTTTTATCACCCCGAAGGCTGGCTGGAGGGTAACACAAGAAGCCTCTGTACTACTTTCAACGCTTCTCATGAGCCTCAAACTATGTCACAACACAAAGTTACAACAAAAAATAACACATATCCATCCACCACCTGGCTCAAGACATAAAACATTATCAAGACCAGAGGCAATCACTCTTCTGAATTTGGTGAGTTATTCCTGAGCAGTTAAAGGCATTTTGTTATGTAGATGTCTCCCTGAAGGGCGGCTTGTGGTCTGGCTCTGCATATTTAATATGATTTCATTTAAGTGGCATCATCCTGTGTGTGTTCTTTGGCAATCTGCTTCTTGCTCACCATGTAGCCTCTGCTGAGCGTTTTCTTGAGGTGCTTTGACACCGTCGACGTGTTGGTTACATTGTTCTCTTTGAAGGCAAGTCTCTGACATAGGCGCTTCTCCTCAGGGTGCACGCCTTCCTCTATTTCTGATAACTTTTGGAATATCTCCAGGTGGTCACATCACTCCTCATTGACATCACCATCGAGGTTACCTTCTCTTTCATAGCTCCCAGGGGATGCCTCAGCGAGGCACCTTGCAGGGGGAAGACAGGATTGAGAACACCAGCACGTGTTTGTGTTTCTAGGGGAGAGGAGCCTCAGTACCTCATGATGTGAAGTCTGGACTGGAGGAAGCTGGGTGGATGCTCCTCCCCTGAAAACCTAAGTCATGGGAACCAGCAGTTAGCATAATGGCTATGTCACTGGACTCTCACGTAGTCGACCGCGGTTCGCGTCCTGGACCTGGTGGCTTGAAACTCACGCCAGGCGCATGTGCGTGCGTGCGTGCCCAAGATCCTGGGAGGAGAATGGAGAAGAAGGGATTGTGGCGTGACCATCCCTCTGGGGGGTCATTTCTCGCTTTCTGTCTCTATGTCTCTCTCGGTCTGTCTGGCGAGCGCACATGCCCTATAGCAAAAAAAAAAACCTCTCAAAAAAACAAAAAACAAAAAACAAAAAAACAAGTCACTACAGTTGTCATTTGCTATTGGGATTCCTTGTAAATGAATTTTCCCCCAAGATCTTCTTGTAAAAGGGAGTTTGAAGACACTCATCTAGAGGCCTGTGAGCTGGAAGGCCAAGTGCTTATTCCTGGAACAGCTGAGGATGGTCTTTGTGGACCTCACCCACCTGTAGGAGCAGGTTAGGGACTCATGTGTTAGCTGACATTACACGATCTATTCCAGATGTCACTCTGTTAACCCCCACAGTTGTGGTTTATTTTTATTGTGATGAAGTGAACCTCACATAAAATGGACTATTTTAACTATTTAAAGTGGACAGTGCAGTGACGTTGAATACATTTATAGCAGGGTGGAGTGATCCCCACCGTCTACTTCCAGAACACGTCCATCACCCCAAAAGGAAATGCCATACCCATTAGCAGTCACTTCTCATCTCCTCCGTGTCTGCCCTGCCACTGGCTACCTCTAATCTCCTTTCTGTCTCTGAATTTGCCTGTCCTGGACATTTCCTGTGAGCGAAATCACATGCTATGTGGCCTTTTGTGTCTGTCTGCGTTCTGTAACATGATGTTCTTGAGGTCTAGCCATGTTGTAGCTTATGTCAGTGCTTCCTTTCCTTTCTTTCTTTTGCTACTTGGTACATAAAGTCACCAAAGAGAGAGGGAGGGGAATAACCCCCCAGGGGAGATGGCCATGTCATAATTCCTTCTTCTTTATTCTCCTCTTGGGATTTTGAGCATGCACACATGTGCTTCTGGCATGATTTTTTTTTTCTTTTTTTAAAAATGATTTTATTCTATTATTTATTTATTTATTTATTTTAATTTGACCAGAGAGGGAGGGAACAAGGTGAGGGGCAGAGGGAGCGGGAGAAAGGAGAGAAAGAGAGAAAGAGAGAGAAAGCAAGCTGCCAGGTCCGGGACTTGAAACATGGTTGGCCATGTGGGAGTCCAGCGTTCCTAACCATCACACTACCTGCTGGCCCCTCTGGCATGATTTTCAAGCTGCCAGTTCGAGGACTCAAACTGTGTAGCCAGCCATGTGGGATCTAGCTGCCTTCACTTCCACCACACCTGCAGGCCCCCTTCATTTCTTGTTTATGGTTGGATAGTGTTGCGTTGTGTAGAGAGACCATATCTTGTTATCCATCCGCCAGCTGGTGGACATTTGGGTTGTTTCCACCTTTTGTCTATTGTCAATGCTGCTGGTATGAAAATTCACGTACACATTTTTGTTTGAACACGTGTTTTTAATCCCGGGTATATACCTAGCACTGGAATTGGTGGATCATGTAGTAATTTTATATTTTGAGTTACTGAAAAACCATTACACTTTCCCACAGCAGCTGCGCCATTTTGCACCCACTGGCAATGTATGAGGGTTCCAATTTCTGTCTCCTCACCAACTCTTGTTTTTTTCTGTTTTTTTTTTTTTTTTTTTTTTAAGTTTATTTATCTCTTCTATGAGTGTGAGGGAGAGAGACCACCCTCCAGAAGGTCCCAAGGCCATGATCCACCTTCAGCCTCAGCCAGCCTGGACCATGGGCACACACGTGCATGGCCGTCAGGGCCTCAGCTCCTCATCTCCAGATGCTAACCAACAGCTGCCAGTGTGAATCTGTCTCACATGGTGCTGTATTTTGCTGCTGTGTTACTGTCTGGCACCACTTTTCAGTCTTTAAACTCTTTTTTTAATTATAGCCATCCTACTGGGTATCACACTTTTTTTTTCCTTTTTTTTAAGAGGTTTTTGCTATAGGGTGCAGGCCTTCACCAGAAAGAGACAGAGAGACAGAAAGTGAGAAATCACCCCCCGAGGAGATGGACACAGCACAATCCCTTCTCCAGTCTCCTCTCAGGATCTTGGGCATGCATGCACATGCGCCCGGTGTGTGTTTAAGCCACCTGGTCTGGGACTCAAACTGCGGTTAACTACGTGGGAGCCCAGCAACATAGCCATTACGTGAACTGCTGGTCCCTCACATGTGGTTTTGATTTGCGTTTCCCTGGCCATCAGTGATAGTGAGCATCCTGTCATGGGCTTGTCCCACAGTATTTTGAGATATGTGGCATAGTCCCCATTTGCACATGACATAGGTCAGGGGACAGTGACTTCTGCAGGGTCATAAATACAGGTCACCAAATACAGTAGGTGGCTCCAGGTAGTCTGACCTCACTTTGGCTTTGGAGGGCTGTGGGGGTTGGGGATGGCAGCTGAGGTACAAGGAGCTGTGATTCCTACCCATCCTTTCCCAGGATGCAGCCGGACTCTAGGTGGGAACAGTGGTCAGGGAAGGTATAAACCTGGTCAGGAAAGAGACCGGACACATTTGAACAGCAGTGATATTTCCAAGAAGTTGTGGCCGTGAAAGGGTGATGAAATGGCCAAGCCAGGTTCTAAGGAGCCACGTCAGCCCTGGGCATGTTTGCTGCTCACCTGTGATGGGGAGAAGGGATGCCGTTCACTGTGGTCGTGTGCCTGACCTGGTTCTGAAAGCTCAGTGCAGGCACAGGAGAAAGGGTTTTAGGGTGCTAGACCGGCTCTCCCTTTGAAGCGGTAATCAGGCTCCCAGTGTTCCACCCCCAGGAGGACTTTACGGGGCAGCTGTGGCTGATCCCTTCATGAATTGGGAGAGGAACAAAGATCTGCAAGTGCTGAGCCGGCGAAGCAGGGTTTCATCTGGACGGTATTAGTGGCAGAGATCAGATTTCCAGAACACAGTGGCGATCACAGGCCAGTTCATGCGGCTGCCCAGGTAGGGTCTCCTTCTGGCTGTTTCTGTGACAGCTGTCCTGGACATCGGGTCCAGACCAGCCTCCCTCAGCCCGATTGACGCACACGGTGGTGGCAGCCCCATCTGATGGCCAGCTAGTTGCTGTCATCAGTAACAGCTGGGAGTCATGAGGTAGCTCCCAGTGCAGGCTGGGGCCACTTCTGGCCTCACTCTGAAGGGCAGCTCTGAGCTCCTCTCCCCACCTGTTGGGACTCATCCAGGTCAATCCTGACAGGTGCAGGTTAGAGCCATGTTCAGAACCTGCCCCACATCTGCAGCCTGAATGGACGTGGGCTGAGGTCCCCTGGGTGCAGCCCTCTTTCTCTGCTTCGCTGTAGCTGCCTCTGCTCACTGTTTTTCCAGCCTGTTGGTCTGGGAATTCCAGCCTTGTGCTGCTTCATCCTTCATCCTTCACTCTCTTTCTGATTCTAGAGCCCTTAGGGTTGGAAGTTCCAGCCCCATGGATGCCCTTAGCTATGCCCAACCTATCTGTGACCCTCCAGTGTGCACTCTTGGGCCTAGGCATCCATGTTCCTGCCTCACTGACCTCCTGGGCTCTGGAGCCTGGCTGTGAGTTTCTCTTCCTCTGACTTGCTGTGGTTCTGATGTCACATGCCACAAGGTGCCACTTCATTTGTGCAGCAACGAGGATCCATTGCCTCCCAAGGAGTGTCTGACTGTTGACCCAGTTCTTCCCTCATTCTGACCATGCTGCTCAGCAGATGCCAGGCCTGGGACAGCAGTGGGGGCCTCCCCAAGCACTTCCTGTTGTCCACAGCTCTCTCACGAGCCCCAGATGCATGCCCAGCTGCCCCAGGCTTCTCCTCTGAAGGTCTGGGGTCACCTCCACCATATGCCATGGACTCGTGCTGGCAGGGCCTGCCTCCTCCACCCACTTGGCCATCCAACAGGGTCTTCCTTTCCAAAATGACGACATCCTGGTTC